TTTTTATTTTGGCGCCAAATTTTCTTAACAAAAAGATCTTTTGGTTTTTATTATCTGATATATAGCTAGCAATAAATATGTATATATATATATGTTTCTATGAAAATGTTAATCTGCAAGACGCAGGTTATCATCATCCCTTTTTGATTTGTTTTTGTCACTTTGGCGGTTCGCAAATAAACAACAAAAGCTGCATCAGACATTATAACGACAATAAAGATTTTCTGATAATAAAAGTGTACAAAGATGTTGCATTATCCACTTTTTTTTATTTCCACCAATAGTTTCTAAACATGTGTATTTTGGGAATAGCGCGCGCAAACTCTGCCTCAATTCTCCTAGATTCATTTGAAGGAATAATTTTCACCAAGGAGCAAATATCAACAGATCAATGCAAAGTGAAGTGAGTGGGTGGTGTCTTTTGGCAATAATTATCTCGCACTGGTGTTCCCGCCACAACTGTTGCATGCCACCTGCCAACAGCACGTGACAGCCCTTATTTTCTGTTAATTAATTTCGATTAGAATTGCAAGCTATATGAATGCGCAGCTACCAAGAATCAAACAGGAATACATTTCGAAAATACAAAAATATTTTCTCACAATGAGTTTCTTTTCATTTTTTTTTAAATGCTAGCTTTCAAGCGATAATCACTCTCACTCTTCAACGAAAAAATATCGACACAATAAATAGTCAATGATTTTTATTAAGCCCTTTGAAGAGAGATTATCACTTGAAAGCTAAAATTTTAAAATTAAAATAAACTCATTGTGAGAAAATATTTTTGTATTTCTCAAACGTTTTTTGCAATTTTATCATGAATAGGAATACACTTCAAACATGAATACACTAGCTGGAGACGCCGGTTATGTAAATTTCTATTTTTGATTATTCAGACAGAAGATTTACATATTTGTAAATATAATTGTGTATATAAGGATGTGTTAGTTTAATAAAAGTGTGTCAGTAACAATCGGGTGTTGTTGAATCATTAGTGTCATCAGGGTAGCCTTTCTGGTGTTGTGGGCACTTTTAAGAAAGCAAATAGGCTTCAATACGGTTGGAGACAAGAATAAGTCTGGCAAGAAGATACAGTCAAGCTCTGCCACAACTATTTAGATAAGGCCAGACATATCCAGGATGCGGCAAGCTTTCCGAGCTTTGTAAGTGAGGCAGTGATCGCATCCGAAACACTAGCCGTCATGGCTAAACCCAGGCAACATCTTGAAAAAGGACCCGATCTGCTCCTACTGCCAGGATGAAGATCAAACTAAGGGATAGTTCCTCTTCACCTTCCAAATTTTCCAATACCAAAGATATCAGACGACCTATGAATCCCCAACCTCGACCTTCCATCTCTGTAAAATCTCTCAATAAATTCTTTTGGGGCTCCACATCCAATTACTTTGACTTCCACCGCCATTTCAAATAAAACGAAATAGACTTACATTCAATTATTAGATAGGATTGAAAATAAACATTGTTAATACACCTGGAAGGAGGTACATGACTAACAACAAATTTGCAGCCACATTTTGATAACGAAAAGTTAAACAAGGATTGTGTGACATCTTTAGCACAATGAACTGTCAGCATGGCGACCATTGCTAAACCTTCCCATGACACTCCAGCAGAGTCAGAATTTCTTTCTGTGCTACGTTGAAATACATACATGGAAACAGAAGTAGCATCATATTGTCTTTTCTGACAAATCTCAGTTCTGCATCCATCATCATGATGGAAATACCCATTTATTACACACCATGGGGATTGCCTGATTGCATTTGTCATCTACGGGCCCCTGATTGCATTTGTCATCTACGGGCCCCTGATTGCATTTGTCATCTACGGGCCCCTGATTGCATTTGTCATCTACAGGTTCCTGATTGCATTTGTCATCTACGGGCCCCTGATTGCATTTGTCATCTACAGGTCCCTGATTGCATTTGTCATCTACAGGTCCCTGATTGCATTTGTCATCTACAGGTCCCTGATTGCATTTGTCATCTACAGGTCCCTGATTGCATTTGTCATCTACAGGCCCCTGATTGCATTTGTCATCTACAGGTCCCTGATTGCATTTGTCATCTACAGGTCCCTGATTGCATTCGTCATCTACAGGTCCCTGATTGCATTCGTCATCTACAGGCCCCTGATTGCATTCGTCATCTACAGGTCCCTGATTGCATTCGTCATCTACAGGTCCCTGATTGCATTCGTCATCTACAGGTCCCTGATTGCATTTGTCATCTACAGGTCCCTGATTGCATTCGTCATCTACAGGTCACTGATTGCATTTGTCATCTACAGGTCCCTGATTGCATTCGTCATCTACAGGTCCCTGATTGCATTCGTCATCTACAGGTCCCTGATTGCATTTGTCATCTACAGGTCCCTGATTGCATTCGTCATCTACAGGTCCCTGATTGCATTTGTCATCTACAGGCCCATCACCTTCACCCCTATTTCATGTAGCTGGTAATTTGACAGTCTTAGCTTCCTGAATTGTTACAGCCCGTGGCGTTTCCCTATTTTCAAAGCCTTTTTCACACTAATATTCACATGACAGTGAACAATCTCATGTATTTCATGTTGTCTTGACCTTCTTTGACATAGAGAGCGCCATGTAGTGGAACAGAAATCAAATAAACGTCATATCAGGGAACAGGCTAAGTCAATGTTTAGTTGATTTCTGTTTTCCTAGATGGCACTCTGCCATCTAAAAAGCTCATGTAAGCATCGTCAAGATATGCATTTTTTGTTTATATTACCAACACCTTTCCTTTTTTATTATTTTATTTTTAATTATTATTTTATATTTTGTTTTATATACAATCATGATTGTACTTTTTTTTTTATTAATCCCTATACGAGGTGTGTTCAAAAGTATCGCGAATTTTGAATTTTCGCGGGTTACGTATATTCGAATTTCGATCTTTTTGTGGCTTTATGTTGGTACTCATGTCTCTCACTTATGCCGACAAGCTCGGCCATTTTGAATGTTCACTTAATTGTTGACAGCTGCTTTGCTTGCAGGTGTTTTGGATCGTCTTCGATTTTTACCTATTAAAAAAAAATGGATCAAAGAACCTGTATCAAATTTTGTGTGAAAAACGAAATTAAGTGCGCGGATGCATTCCGAATGTTGACTGTGGCATACGGAGAAGCTACCTTGGACCGAAGCAACGTTTATCGGTGGTACAAAATGTTCTCAGAAGGCCGAGAAGATGTGAACGACGAAGAGCGTGCCGGACGCCCGAGCACTTCAACAACAGACGAAAAAATTAATGAGGTGGAGAAAATGATATTGGCCAATCGTCGAATCACCGTTAGAGAAGTTGCTGAGGACCTAAACATATCGATTGGCTCGTGCCATTCGATTTTTATCAATGATTTGGGCATGAGACGGGTCGCCGCGAAATTCGTACCAAAATTGCTCAATTGCGACCAAAAACAGCATCGCATGAACATTGCTAATGAGATGTTAGACTCTGTTCGCGACGACCCAAATTTTCTCCAGAGGGTCATAACTGGTGACGAAGCGTGGGTTTATGGTTATGACGTGGAAAACAAAGCTCAATCATCTCAATGGAAGCTGCCGCACGAACCAAGACCGAAAAAAGCGCGCCAAGTTTGGTCGAATGTGAAAGTTTTGCTGACAGTTTTCTTCGATTGCAGGGGCGTGTTGCATCATGAGTTCTTTCCACAGGGTAGAACGGTCAATAAGGAATATTACCTGCAAGTTATGCGCAATTTGCGCGAAGCAATCCGCCAGAAACGCCCGGATTTGTGGAAGAACAAAAATTGGCTTTTGCACCACGATAACGCCCCTGCTCACACATCGCTGCTTGTGCGCGACTTTTTGGCCAAAAACAACACACTAATGATGCCGCGCGCAGCCACCGTATTCCCCAGAACTGGCCTCCTGTGACTTTTTCTTTTTCCCTAAACTGAAGAGGCCCATGAAAGGACGACGTTACGCTACGCTTGAGGAGATAAAGACGGCATCGAAGGAGGAGCTGAAAAAGATTTTAAAAAATGATTTTTTGAAGTGCTTCGAAGATTGCAAAAACCGTTGGCACAAGTGTATAATATCTCATGGGGATTACTCTGAAGGGGACAAAATAGGTATTCATGAATAAATAAATAATTTTTGAAAAAACACACAAAAGTTGCGATACTTTTTTAACCCACCTCGTATATATAAAAGTCAGTGTATGTATGTGTGTTTGTTCCTATGTCGGCTATACACGTCCACAATACATTACTAATCTGACTGAAATTTTAACAGTATATAGAGTAGAATCTGAAAAAACTTAGTGAAAATTTCAGGTCTCTTTTTCGAATATTCGTCGAGTTATTTGCAAATTGCGTTGCAAATTTGCCCTTTCGCTCGCAAGCAGCGCTTCTAGAGGTGAAGATGGAAGGTAATATCAGCTGACTTAATGTACATGTAAAAAGGGGTTTTAACAGGACATAGAGAAAAATATGGATGGGATATTTATCGCAATTTTAGCCAAGAAAAATTGAAATTGACAGGTTTTGGGCAAAAATAGTTGTTGTTTTTTTTTTAGTCTGAAAATGATGAAAATATTGCTGTATCATCATTTGATTATCAGATACAGAATTATATCGGAAAAAATTCCAAAGAGCAGAGACCACGGGTGAAGCCAGTTCATTTTTAGTATTCAGGAACAAAATTCTAACAGAAAAAAAAATCATTCGAGCAGAAGATACAAAGCCAGATCATCTCTTAATAAAAATATCGCTTCTCAGACACAAAGTTTGGAGCGGGACGTTTCACAAGAATGACATCCACGGCGCCAATTTATAATTGTAACGAATAGTATTTGAATAAAAGCATTTAATTGGGTAAAACCCGTATATTACATAAAAGCATTCCATTAACAATAGCAAACGATGACCGAATTGATGACTCTGATACTGGTATATTTTAATAATAATATAAATGAGTTTTAAAAATTGTAAAAAAAAAAAAATGCATCAGCCGGGAATTGAACCCGGGCAGCACCCATGGCAGGCAAGCATTCTACCACTGAACCACCGATGCTTATAAAAAATGGCCATATTTGGGTATTTATTCCATTCACAAAAGCAAACTGTGACAGAATTGTTGATTGAGACTCTGATAACTGTATATTTTAATGTTTAGTGAATTTTGATACTTTTCATTTAGCAATGAATATATTCTTTCCAGTTTAGAAAAATGGTGGTTATAGGACTGGAGAAAGGCTCTGCGGTTAATCCTGATCAAACATAAACTCTTGTTCAAAGTGAACGCTTGTTTCCTGTAGATGAGAAGATCTGACCTAGGTAGGAATACCTTGTGTCTTGGTTGGCATAGACAGGGATACAAGAGTCTTGTATGAATACAAAATATTATGAGCATCTTTAGAGAAGATGCATTACAGTAGAACCTCCATGTGAGGACACCTCTCTACAAAGGACAGTTTTCTTTTGTAAAATTATAATTTTTACTATTTAGTAACTCTCTAGTAAGAGGACACCTCTCTACAAAGGACAATTTTCATTTGTAAAATTATCATTTTTACAATTTAGGAACTCTCCAGTAAGAGGACACTTCTCTACAAAGGACAGTTTTCTTTTGTAAAATTATCATTTTTACAATTTAGGAACTCTCCAGTAAGAGGACACTTCTCTACAAAGGACAGTTTTCATTTGTAAAATTATCATTTTTTACTATTTAGTAACTCTCTGGTAAGAGAACACCTCTCTACAAAGGACAGTTTTCATTTGTAAATTATCATTTTTACTATTTAGCAACTCTCTAGTAAGAGGACACCTCTCTACAAAGGACAGTTTTCATTTGTAAATTATCATTTTTACTATTTAGCAACTCTCTAGTAAGAGGACACCTCTCTACAAAGGACAGTTTTCATTTGTAAATTATCACTTTTACTATTTAGCAACTCTCTAGTAAGAGGACACCTCTCTACAAAGGACAGTTTTCATTTGTAAATTATCATTTTTACTATTTAGCAACTCTCTAGTAAGAGGACATCTCTCGCTAAAGGACACTTTGGTTCTGTAATTAGGTGTTGTCCTTTACAGGGAGGTAGTTCTACTGTACTTTGGAATATCAAACTCTATCAATCACTAATGGCCAATAAGCTAACAACTAGCACTCCTGCTCTACACCACTGGTCTGACCCACCATAATTGAAACAGCCAACAGCACTTGAGGAAGTAATGTACTTTGAGTAAAGCACACAGGAATATTCTCCAACAATTTGTTATCATGCCAGATCAAAGTTTCATCCTTAGAGGCAGATTATTTTTTCCCAGAAAAAGTTTTTTTCTTCTTCATTATTCTTAGGTGACATGGTAAAACTTTGATAATCATGGTGGATAGTAGTTGGCAACTGCTTTTACTGTAAATGCATGTCTACAAATGTAGGTAGCAGTTAAATTTTTGCATTTATTAATATGCAAGTATCCCATTTAGTTACTTGCACTTATCAGTGGGGTTAGAATTTTATAAGAAAAAGTACCCATTGGGGATGATAAACCACAATTTGGATTATAGATTATAACTACAAGATAATAGGACCTAATCCAAATAAATAGTGTTTGACGTTTCGGTAAGGGCATTGTTACCATCATAAGCCAAAAGAATAAATGTGATGTTTCAGTAACAGCATTATTACCAAAACATCACACACCATTAATTTATTTGGATTAGTCTGGTCATCTACGGACAATGACTTTCCAGAATGGTTGCAAGGTTTTCCCACTATGTACTAAGTGCAATTCTCAGCCTGCAACCCCAAGACATATTATTGACTGTATTGACTCATCCATTAATGAGCTCTACTCTTCCCCGGCAGACACTATCAAAAATCTCAATCTTTACAAGCTTGATACCTTAGTGTGATTGAGTGGAGATAAGAAAGAAGAAGACAATGAAGAGGACACAACAACAACAACCAATGTATATATAAGATTCCCAAAGGAAAGTGTAAAAAAAAAAAAGAACAAGACACAGACATCTCAATTTTACAAAATAGATTTATTTATATATATATATATACTAATAAAAAAATTATATCACATATCTAACAAACTTCTTCTTTTTTTTTGTTTCATTGATGATGATGCTCAGTGTGGAGATTTCTCCCTTTGTTTTTATACATTGAGGAAAGTAGAGAAAGATAGAGTGTGAGAAAGTTGGAGATAGAGAAAAAAAAACAAAAAAAATAGAAATTTTATATTTAAAAAAAACAAAAAAGATTCAGTAAAAAAAAAAAAACATATACTTTTTTTTAACCATGAAGACAACAAATATTTAATATAAATAAAAAGTCTTTTTTTTATACAACAAAATTTCTATATATATAAATAATTACAAAAAAAAACATAATGTATTTATAAAAAAAAGAGAAAGGTGGGAAGGTGAGAAATGATATAAAGAGAGAGGCAAGAAATAAAGTTCTTTGGTGTTGGATTGAAGCTCATGATGACTAGTAGATTGGTGTTAGACGGGTTCAACGGAGAATGGCCGGAAGGTAACAAGAGTGGCCTTGCCGCTGCAGCTG